CCCAGTACAGACAAACTTGGACTATAGGCCTTCTGAGCCCAAGGGGAGGGTATCAGCAGGGAAAGTGGAGGGTCAGAGGGATCTGATCTCATCTGCCCCCTTTGCTTATACCTGGAAGTCATAGGCTATGAGCTCCATGGGACCAGGAACATACTTTCTGCTTCATCATTGGCCTGGCATGCAGCACTGGGGAATATTGCTGCGTGAAAGAATGAACAAAAGGATAAACCCAGCTGGAGTCCTGGGTCTTTAACTTCCCCAGACAGTCTCTTTTCATTTCACTCTAAAGCTTTGCAACACATCCTAAGATTTTTCCCTCCCAAAATCTAGAGGACTGTCCCTTTAAGGACATTGGGTTGCGGATTTTGGTTGGTTTCAAACCTCGCTGATGCAGCTCAGGATAATCCAGGTCATTCTCCATCCTGCATCAGGGAAACCTTTCCACGGAGTCCTAGATTGCTGGGGCTGATAGGATGTAGAACTCTGCTACCTTGGCCAGCACCTGCCAGGTCACAGCCAAGTCCAGAGCTGGTGAACTGGGTCACAGCTCCACACTCCCAGGGCTCCTTGAGAACCCCTTCAGATAGAGGTCCTCTTCCATCCTCCTGCCCCTAATGTTTGCTGCCTTACTTCCGTCAACATTCCTGTCACAGGCTGCAATTTCAGGTCTATGTCTGTCTCCAGAACTACCCAGGAGCTCTTGAGAGACATCCCTGCATCTCCACACAGAGCCTGGCACACAGAAGGTGCTCAGCAAACGTATAAGATGCTCAGTAAACATATAAGGTGCTCAGTAGACATACAAGGTGCTCAGTAGACATACAAGTTGCTCAGAAAATGTTTGTACCTGCATGGGGCTTGCTGGCTCATGACAATTTGAGTCGCAGTGTTTAGCTCCTACGACCTGAGTCCCCCAGCGTGTTTAGAGGCTGAAGTGGGCGGGATCTTAGATAAAGTGTGGGTTCCCTCAGCCAGGTCACTGGGCTGCTGATCTTCAGGGCATCTCCAGAAGGAGAAGACACAATGCCCAGCTGTTGTGGCTGTAGGAAGAGAATTATGCCAGTGTGGCCTCAGGCTGGAGAGAGGCTCTCTGTCCCCAGTAGCCCCCTGCAGTCCCTGCAGTGTCCCTCCCCAATGATGCCAGACCTTGCGCCAGCTCCTGGAACTGACAGCAACACAGTAAGAATCACTGAACCAAACCACCATGTTGATTAGCTTTTACCCTGAGCTGGGTTCTATGCTAAGTGCTTCATCAGCCTCACAATAACCCAGAGAAGCAGTACTGTGGCTTCACAATCATGTTACAGGGAAGGGGGGGGAGGGATGGAGAGGGGAACTCACCCACCCTCACCCACAGGCTAACTGTGAGCAGCACTGCAGTCAAGGCAGACATTGGAAGCCTATTTGTTGAGTGCCTACCATGTGCCAGGCCCCATGCTGGGTGCAGGGAGACCCCAGTGAATGAGACAAGAATGGGCCACCGGCTCTGCTCAGGCTCTGGACTGCTAAGCGAGACAGTCAAGCTATCCCAGGAGTTTTGGAGGTAGCAGGAAGGAAGGGAGCTGTTGTGTAGAGAGACAAGGCCTAGGCTTGGAGCCCGCTCTGCCACTTTTGGTAGTCCTCCCTGACAGGAGTCTGACTCTTAGAGAGAGGCATAGGTAGCATGGGTGACTGTCACAGTCACCTAGTGCTGTGTAACAAACCATTCCAAAGCTCAGAGAAGTTGATAGGCCAAGTCAGAAAGATATCATCAGAAAGTGATGGAGGGAGAGGTCAGGGAGGTGTGAGGGTCAGCCCCACCCAGGTACTCAAGCTCCCACAGGAAAAAAGAAACAACTGAATAAAACCAAATTAAGTCACGCCTCTGATTTCTGCAGTACTGAGTCACTGACAAAATCCTGTTGCCCGTGTGATCCCATTTGGTTCTCTGCACAGCTCTGTAAGGGAGATTCTGCCTCCCTCTCCTCCCCACCCCCACTTTGCAGATGAGGCAGCTGAGCGCAAGGGAGAGGGACAGGCATGGCCTCGAGGCATGAAGCTACCTAGTGGCAGAGCCAGGATTACAACTCTTAGAGTTGGCAGAAGAACTAAGAGAAGTGACTGGCGGGCAGGTCCTTCGTCGCTCAGTGGAACTCACTGCTGCCCACACAGCGCAGTGGATGTCGGCTGCGGCTGCGTCGGCTGAGTCGGCTAAGTGGAGGATGGCAGCGTTGAGAACCACTGAGCGAGAGGCAGGGACAGAGACAGAGGCAGAGAGACAGACAGACTTCCAGGTTCCTGGTTCCTCTGTGTTCACCTAATTAATGTCACGCTTCAACACCCCCTTCCGCTGCTGGTGCCATTTCCACAGCTCCTTTTCCTCCTAACCCCTCCCTCCTTCCCAGGCTAAAATCCCACGTGCAGACCCTCAGGTGGATCAAAGATGCTTTCACTCTTGATTCTAAGAAAACAAAAATCTCAGTGTCCCTCCTCCCCTCTGCACTGCGGCTCATGAGTTAGGCCTTCCCGCGCTGGTTTATTTCCCTGCAGCCTAGTAACAGCAACTTCATTAAGAAAACCGCGCTCCCGGCTGAGCTGGAAGCCTCCAGACAGCAGGAGCAGGAGCAGCTCACTGAGGCCTGCAGCCAGGCTGCCTCCCACGCTCCCTTCCCTGCCCTTCTTCCTTCTGTGTCCACGACCTCCCAAGTCCCCCCACGCCCCTCTCACAGCCCTCTTCCTCCTCAGGTCCCCTGTCCATCCTCTGCTTCTTCCTCCTTCACCTGCCGGCTCCAACTGACCACGGAGACGTCAGGGGCTTCTCTGGACCTCGGCCAGTGCTGGAGAGAGAGGACATGAAGGCCATCTTCCTGAGACAGGCTCTGTCCACACTGGGCTGTGACCTGCCACGTCCCCCAGCTCCCGGGTCCCCAATGGGAGAAGGCAACACAGCTTTGAAATGGCAAACTTGCAGGGTGGGCTGTCAGAAGCCTTCCCAGCACCTGCTGGGCCACTAACAACAGAGTCCTGTCACTTCCCTGAGCCCTAGTTTCTCTGTCTATGGGATGGAGAACTCATTACCAGCCTCTTGGGTTGTTGTAAAGACTAAATAAATTAATACATCTAAAGCATTCAGGCCTTCACAGTGAAAAATTCTCTACCAATGACAGCCATTATTACTTTTCCTATTTTTATTTATTCCTAGCCTATTGTGCATTCCGAATTTGGTAGGGTATAAAAATAAAACTTAACAAGTCATTCCCTAATGGGGGAGGGTATAGCTCAGAGGTAGGGTGCGTGCTTAGCATGCGTGAGGTCCTGGGCTCAATCCCCAGTATCTCCATTAAAAAATTAATTAATCAAATAAATTAAATAAAGCCTAATTACTTCCCTCAATAAAAATTTTTTTTTTGATTTTTAAAAAGTCACTGCCTTCCATCTGCTCTGTCAAATCCCCCCCAACACCAGATACCAGCTCTCAGCAGCAGGTTGAGCAGACCGCAGAGCTTTCTGGTCATTTTCAGTTACTCAAAGTCCAGTTCAGAAGGTTCTACTGCTCCACCCTGGCACCCCCTCTCTCAGGCTTGTGGCTCAAGACTCAGAGTGAGACAGGGACCTGCTCAGGCCCTCCACCTCCTCCTTCCCCTCCAGCAGGGGCCAGGGGACATGGTCTGATTCTTGGTCTCTGACATGGACGTGACCCTCCTTGTGATGTGGCAGCTTGCAGGTGAGCTCCAACCAGCTCTTGAAGCCTCTGAAAATCTCACAGGACACCATGGGGATGTGTTCTGGATGTGGATTTCCAACCTTGGACCCCTGGCTCCACCCACTCCAGCTCCTGCCCCCGCCTCATCTGAGCTGGGGACCCCTTCCCAGGCAGACAGCCGTGGGTGGAGAGTCAGCAGGCTGGCTCAAGCCCGACTAACTTTCACAGCACCCACTGGACCCACAGAGCATAAAGGTGGCAGAGCAGGCTCCTTCCTGGGAGCTGTCCTTGTCTGAAGGTGCCCCATGGTTCTCTCAAGAGGCTCAGGGGCAGACCAGTCAGTCCACCGCCCAGGCAGATGTCACTGGGAACTTGCATGACAGCCTCCCCTTCCTGCAGGGCCTCAACCTCTCTAAGCTATTCTGCCAGGAAAGGACCTCAAAAACACTGTGCCTAGGATGTGACTCTTTCTAGCTCTCCCATTCCCCATCTTTTACATTGCAAAAGGAGGAAGAACCAGAGGGTGATGGTTGGGATAGCAAACCTTTGAAGCATCCCTGAGGAAAATGCCTGGCCCTGCCTGTTGGCAGCTCTCTTTAGAGAATGGAGAACTTCATACATTTTGGCCTGTTTTCAGCCCTCATTGCCATTTCTAGGACATCTGGAAAAATTGCCTCGAACTTCCCATTCATCATTATTATTGACTCGATAATGAAACCAAGATGGAAAGGTAAATCTAGAAATAGTGAGTGGAGACAGGCTATCCCTCCTCTGTGGGTCTGACCCTAATAACACTAGACTGCTAAAATCTGTCCCCAAAGTTAGCATTGCCAGTGTAAGTGGTGGTTTGACCTGAATGGGGAAGGCAGAGCTTGGACTGGTCAGAGTGAGCCTGACAGGAGAGCCCTGGAAGCTAACAACTCCACTCCACACACAGCAAAACCCAAGCTCACCAACCACAACCCTGGAGCCCGCCCCACTCTGGTTGCACCACACACTTACAAGTGACCCCAAGAGCTAGGAGACCACTAGGAATCAATGGAAAAAGCTCTGGACTGAGAATCAGAAGCCCTGGTTGGCTCTAGGTTCTCCCACTGACTATATGACCTTGGGCAGGTCACCCAGCCTCTACAAGCACCATCTACACGATCCACGCTACAAGGCGGTGTTGGAATTAAATGAGATTCCAGCTGTGAGCTTTGTCCCTGTGGAGCATGGGCTGATGTGAGGGGCCATCTTACCAGGGATCCCCTTTCCCGTTCCCCGTACCCCTCCCTGTCATTTCTACCCAAGGCTACAGCTGTCCGTCTCTCCCCAGACCTTCCGGTGGCCAGTGGCCAGTAGCATCAACAGCAATGAGATGCTTGAGATTCAGATCTTCAACTACAGCAAAGTCTTCAGCAACAAGTAAGTGTGGGGTAGGGCGGGGCAGGAGACGCGGGGCCCAGAGGGGTGGGGATCCTGCCTTGTTCCTTGGGCTGCCCTCTCCTTTGAGTTTAAAAAGTGGACCCACACCCACTGCCTGCCCTGGATTAACCTCAACTTGGGGTTAGGAATCAGGAAAGGCCAAAACACGTGGGCTCCGAGGATTCTGCGGTTTTTATGAGGAGTCTGCAAGATCTCAGCTGAGTACGAGGTGTGGGCATTCCAGGCCTGCAGGCAAGGATGCCTCCCTTCAGCCTCTCAGGGCATCCCATCATTCAGGCAGCCGTCTCCAGCACCCACAAGAAAGGCTGGTTAGATACCCCACCATGGTCCCTCAAGATGAAGCATCACCTTCTTCCCTGAGATGAAAGACCTGTAAGGATAGGAGAACGTGCACAACGAGGTGGATGTGGAGGAAGAAGCAAAATCAGAACCCAAGGGTGGGGAGGGGCATCCAGGCAGCCCAGCAGGGACCAATAGTAGATGACAGAGCATCTGGGAGCCTCAGAGCTCAGTCAGTGCCACCCTTGCCATACAGATGGGGAAACTGAGTCTCAGAGAGGATACTGAGGCCACGTGGGTAGACAGCAGTGGAGTGGGGCTAGGATACATGCCTTCTTCCTTCCCTTCCTAGTCCTCAAACTCCCAGAAACCAGGGTATGTGAGCAGTGATGGTGGAAACCAAGGACGTGGAAGAGACTGTTAAATCGTTTAAGTAAAAGCTGCTAGACTGATCCCTGAAGTGCAGGAAACCCTTGAAAACATCAAAACTCCTGCTATACACAAATCAGAAGTATTCGGTAAATTGTTTAGGAAATTGACTACCTGGAATATAAGGCTTCGATGAGTTGTTCTAAAATGCCAGCAAGGGGGGGACAGAAGGGAGCAGTTTCTTTTCTGATTCTCCTTCTCCTCTCTCCCCACCCTCCCTGCCCCCACCCAAGAAGAGGCAGGAAAGCCCACAAGGGGAGGCCTGGGCCTGGTGGGAGAGGATCCTGCAGTTTCCATGGAAACCTGAAGGATGTCCAGGGCACTGCTGACTGCAGAGCTGGGGTGAGAAGGAGGGCCCACCCTGCCACAGGCCAGTTCAGGGGTCGGAGAGGGAGGATGCAGTGTTTGGAGTCAGGTGGGGCTCAGGTCTCCCACTCTGGCACCTAGGCTCCATTTCCCAGAGCCAAAGAAAAAGCCCACCTGGTATTCGCCCTCTGTTCCCACCAGGGCTTGGCTCAGTCACCAGGCTCCTTCTTATGGGGCAGCTGGGGAGCTCTAGGGGTCACACTGGGCTCAGCAACCAACAAAGCCATACCCACTGCTTGGGACAGTGGCTGGCACCCAGCAGGCCCCCACTCCCTTTGTGGAATGAGTGACTGAATAAATGCCCTCTTGGGTCAGGAGGAGAAAGTGTACAGGGCGGGAGAGTCTGGGAGCAGGAATCCAAGTGGTCCTTCTTCTCTGAAGAGTTCTGGGTGCATTTGGGGAAACCGAGGCTGGTGTGAGAAACAGAACCTATGGGCCTGATCCCATCCCTCCTTTGGAGAAAGAAACTTGTTTTCGAAGTGGGAGGGCAGCTTGGAAACTGGCTCCTCACTCAGCAGTTGTAGAGGCTGCCGGGAAGAGGAGACATGGTGGGAAGGAAGAAAGTGTCCTAGTCAGAGGCCAGGAGACCCCATGAGGTCTGCTTTGCCCACATTGAAAGAGGTCCTTTTTCAAGAGCCTTGGGCTGTTCTGTGATGATGTGGTGTTGGGTCCAGAGGATCTTGTGTGACACCCTCTGCCTGTCCAGGACCCTTGAAGGGTGATTGCCTGACCCAGACACTGGTCTCCTGGGGCTCCTGAATAATTCAGGGGCCAGGAGAACACAGGCCTCAGGCACCTGACACCACCTCCCAGGGGAAAGCAATGAATTATTGACAGGTCCTGGTGCCTGGTTGCAGCTCTATTGTAGTCAGTCTGTGGGCCTGTCTGTGTCTGAGGCCCCCTCCCTGCTGGCTAATTACCTAGGAATCCTGCTCCCTCTCTGGCTACTCTGGCTACTCTGGAGCCTCCATTGGGGCCAGTCCGCCCTTCTGAGCAGAATGTGGACTCTGTGGGGGGTGCCCCCTGTGCAATGGGTAACCTGGATTGGCTGCATAAGGGAGGTTGTCGAAGGACAGAAGATTAGATTCCAGCCCTTTCACCAACAGCCTGGGGGAAACAGGCCCAGAGAGGGCCCTTGCCTCGGATCACGCAGCAGGGTCAAAGCAGAACTTGGTCCTCAACCCAGACCCCCTGACCCCTGTGCCAGCATTCCTTCCCGAAGAATGAACAGCCTCACACCTCCACTTTCCAGGGAAAGGACCCAGCTGTCCAGGGGCATGGCAGCCCACCCTGGGCATGGGGGCCCACCTCTTAGGCAGCTCCTCCTGGCTGACCCACGCAGAGAAACAGAGGTAATAGGCAGACCCCGCTGAGTTTCCGCCAGGCTAGACAAAGGGTAACCAGGGTCCAGGTGTGGGGCGTGGTCTCCAGAGTCACCACGCAAGCCAGAGCCAAGGCTTCCTTCCCGCACCAGCTCCTTTCCCCAGAGTACATCTGTGGAGGGGTTGAGGGGCAATGGAAGCAGCAAGAGGGCACTTGTTTTGAAGCTGTGTTTTCATAGCAAGCACCTTGGTTTTGCTTAGATGGTACGTTACAGACTTGTAAAAAGAGCAAACTTTATAAAAATGCTTTTCATTATGCTTTACATAAGACTGAGATCATATCAATCGTCTATTTCAAAGAATACTATTTTTTTACCTTTGTTTGGGGAAGTAGGGGGGAAGGGTTAGGAATAAAGCATCGCCATCTCAAGCCACCCCTGGGGCTGTGATGAGCCTAGTCCTTTGGCCTTGCTAGCTCCCTGGATCCCTACCCATCCTCTGGGCGGCAGATGAGCTCCGGCTCTGTGAGGCTGCGCATCTGCACCCAGAGCCCATCCTGCAAAGGGGACCAGGCTGCGTGGGCCCTCTAGATGGCAAAAACACCCCAACGCTGAAATCTGAGGACATTCACTTGAGTGTACTCACCACCACCCAGTAAAGCAAGCAGTCTCACCTCCTTTGGGGACATGGGAAAAAAGCAAGGCTCAGAGAGGTTGGAGAACCAGCCAAAGTCACACAGCTGCCCAGGTGGTGGAATCTCCTTTAGACCTTGCTGGCAAACCTACCTCTGTCTGACTCCAGAGCCCAGGCTCTTTCTTCTGTCTACACTGCCTCCTATTAGGGATGGCATTTAGTCTGTGTGTGGACAGGGCTTGGACCAGGGCCTGAGGAGCAGGGGATTTGCCAGAAGGCAGACCTGGGCTTACTATGTGATTGAAGCAGAAGTGGATGGACAAACAGTCAGGACGAACAGGTCCTGGTGCCTGGCTGCAGCTCTGTTGTAGTCAGCCTAGTCAGGCCCCATCATGGGGCATCTAGCTGGGGCTTGAGAGCCTGTGTCAAAGAGGCGGTTTAAGGGACTCCTCCTGGACGGAATGCTAGACAAGCTCTTCTTTAAGGCCCCTCTCAAGTCTAAAGATCTGAGACTCTGACATTGGTTAAGCCTGGAAGGCACAGAAGCCTTGTTTGAGCACTTGGGGTGGGGGCGGGGGTGGTTGGGTGGAGGGTGGAAATAGCTCCATCCTGCCCCCTGGGGGTATCTTGTGACATTGCAGCATCTCTGCTGATCCTGGGCCTTCCTGTCTGAGCAACTTCGAGGCAAAGTTGTACCTGTGCGCAAAACACTCAGCAGGTGCTCACCAGGTCCTAGTGGCACTAACATGGCCTGAAGTTCCAGTCCGCAAAGGGCAGCAGTAGAACAGGGATTCTCCAGATGTGCTCCCCCACCACCGTCATCAGCATCTCCTGGACACTTGTCAGAAATACCCATTCTTGGGCCCCACCCCGCCTGCTGAGTCAGACTCCCTGGGGCGGAGCCTCTGGTGAGCTGAGGCTGCCTCTCACCCAACTTACCCTCTTAGCCATCTCTCCCAACACTGAGTTCAGTGACTTCACACTGGAAACTTGAAATTGGCCTTGGTGGGAGTACTTACACCTTGAAAGTGGGCAAAATCTACAAGTCAGGTCTGCCCTTCCCCTCCCCTCACCAGTCGTTAAACAGTTGCCAGCACAGTCGCGGCTGGGTGGGTCCCAGTCATTTGTGTTTTAACAAGTATGATTGTATCCATGCCAAAGTTTAGAAGCACTGATTAATATCCAAAAGAGGTGAGGCTGCAAAAAACCTAGTGTATTCTTTCGTGCTTATAGTCTAGTGTTAGAAGAGCTACACAATGACAAAATTGAGACTTGGGGGCAGCGGCGCCATGTCTCTGACCCCCAGCCCAGCACTTGCGTCTGCCCCGCCCAAGCTGGGGAGAAGCTGGGATGCAACAAAGGAGGAAGCTTTCGAGGGGAGGGATTGGGAGACCCAGTGGAGGAATGGACAAACAGCTGGCAGATGGGGCTCTGAACCTCAGACGGAAGCATTTCATATTCATTGACCATGGCTGCTCCCACCACTTCCTCCCCTCACACAGACAGGAGGCTTTTCTTAAAGTGTTCACCCTCCATGGCCCTTGGGAGAATGCAGGTATCAAAAAACGTCTGTTAAAGTTAGGATCCACCTGATACTTCACCTCACCCGGATTGGCCATTAAATTAACTGCGTCCCTCCCTGCTTTCTCGGCCTCACCTTCCTTCTTTAGAAATCCAGGGCAGCACCAGATGATCCTAAAGTCCCCTCCAGTTCTCCCAGCCTATAGATGCCTCCCCAGCTGTTGTCCTTTCAACCAGGAATTGTGTACATTTTAATCTACCCCATGTGGAATCACCATGTGAGACCATCTCTCTGAGTACACTGTTTTCTCCCAGAGCCATAGCCTTCAAACCATGGGATGAAATGACAATCAGGTCAACTCCATCTGCATGTATGGGGTACCCACTGTTGTTCATTAATTCAGCCATTAGATTTTGAGATCTCCTGTGAGCCAGAAATATCAAATAGAGGCTGGAAACTGGAAACAACTGCTTCCCTGGAAAGGCTGGGAGAATGGAAATCCCACAGTCAGGTGGGTCCTTGCCCCAAGGAACTTACAGAATGCAGGTGTGAGCATCACTACTGACTAAACAAGATGAATACGGCCCAGTGGTGCCAGTGAGGAGTAATGACCTTGGTTGTGTTTAGAGAGGCGGGAGGGGGAGGAGCAATTTGTGTGTCCAGGAGCCTCCTGTCCTTCCCCAGCAGTATCCCTGCTGGGCATCTGGAAGGTGTCCTTCAAGGGCTCAGCTGAGCCCTGATTGCACATGCCCTGAGGAACACAGGGCTCCACTGTGATATCCTGACCCCAGTCTGTGAACATTCCCCTGGGTGCATGCTTCCCTCAACTCTCCCAGGGAAACAGCTCTCATACACACAACCACGCACAGTTGCTGGGGGTCATAGACCCTCCTGGACATGCCGCCCTGGCCAGGACCAGCCCTCGCTCCTGAGACACCTTCTCCAACCCCAGCCTGGAGCTCAAGCAAGCCCTCCCTCTCTGCAGCCCACTTGTCTCCTTCCTGTCCAGTCACAGCCTCTTGGGATGTCAGCCTGGCTCCTCATTCTGGCCTCTTCATGTGAAACCATGAAAACTGTGCCCCCTCTGCCGGTTGCAGGCTCATCGGGACATTCCGTATGGTGCTGCAGAAGGTGGTGGAGGAGAGCCACGTGGAGGTGACCGACACGCTGATTGATGACAACAATGCGATCATCAAGGTGAGGGTGCCCAGAAAGCCCCTGGATTTGCCCATTAGAGGTCACCTGGGGGCCTATTCACCTCCCTCCCCAACACATAGCATGGTCTGGGGGGCGCTCCTTGTGGGCAGGAGATGGGGTGAGAGGAGGGGACTCAGGTCAGACTCTGCCAGAGCCCCTCAGCCTGGGGGCCGTGGCTGGAGACCCTGGGGCATGGCAGGGTCTGCTGTCCCAAGGTGGACGCTGCAGCCTTTCCTGCAGTGAGAGTACAAGAGAAGTGACTGGGGCAGGGGTGCCCTCCCTTCTGCACACGGGGGGCCTCCCAGCTCAGAAATCACTAAAGAGGCGTCTCTCATTATCCAAAAGTCAGCCTGAACCCTGCTGGCCACTCCAGGGCATAACTGACACCTTGGTGTCTAAGACTAGCCATTCTGTGAGGGCAAGGACCTTCTTTCCATTCCATCTGTCACATCCTATCCCAGCAATTCCAGCAGGGAAGAACACACATGCACCAGTGACGCCCAGTCTATAGACACTTAAAACAAGTTCAAACAAAGGAAGGAAATCAACCAATCAGAACGCCCAGGCCCCAAGCTCGGCTCTGGTGCATCTGTCCCCTTGAGCTCATCCATGTCACCCCTGGGCAGTTGAACCTAGTGGTGAGATACAGACCTTAGTGAGGCCACTCACTAACTGTGTGACTTGGGCAGGCTACATATTATCTGCAAAGTGAGCAAAATTATCGAATTTACTTCACAGGATTGTTCTAAGGATTAAATGGGAATTCACAGAAAGTGCTTAGAACAGTTAAGCAGAGAGACACTGCTCAATAAATGTACAGAATACTATCAGTAGCTATGATTTCCTGACCTCAGTTTACTCATATCTAAAATGGGGCTGTACCATTGTTCCCTGGCCCTGGTCCTGCACACGGCCCTAAGCAGTAGCAGCAGAATAGTCTCAGAAGCAGGACTGCAGCCACAGGGAGCCAGAAGCAAAGGAGCCCCTCCCTGAGGAGTGCCAAGGGTGGGGCAGAAAACCCCTGGGGCCTTGGTGTCTCAAGACATTTCCTCGCTGAGAACAAGGAGAAGAGGTGGAGCTTCTCAGCTTGGCCCCAGACAGGCTGTTCTCCCCACAGGTAAGGCACGGGCAGGGGGGCTTCTTGAAGTCAGGGGGGCTGGGGTCTCAGCCATCACAGCAAGGAAATAGGGGATGCAAAACACGCTAAGGGACCCCAGTGGGCACCGGGGTGCTTGCAGAGGAACGCAGATGCTTGGTGAGGCAAGGTGAGAGGGAACTAGGGAGGTGGGTGGGAACAACCAACGGCGCAGCCCGTGCCCTGTGTTTCTAGAAGCAGATTTAGGAATTCAGCAAAGGAAAGGACTTACAGATCACCTAGCCTACCCACCACCCATCTCCACTATCCATTTTTTGGATGGGAACACTGAAGTCCTGGATGAGGAATGGACTGAGTCAAGGAATGGACAGCTGGTCCCAGCAGAGTCAGCACTGGAACCCAGGACTTCTGATTCCAGGCCCACAATTTCTCCACCACCATGTGCTTGATCACACTGAACAGGCCACACTGGCTCAGTGGGAAGGACATGGGGATTAGAGTCAATCAGACTGAGCCCAAACCCCAGCTCCAGCACTTTGTAGTTCTGTGACTCTGAGCAAGTAACAACCTCTCTGATAGGTTAGGTAGGTTAGGTCGAAGTGTTGGGAAGATCAAATGAGTTTATGCTGAAGCATCTTAGCCTAATGACTAGTGCAGCAAGGATTCAGAAAATGCGTGCGACTTTCCCTTCCCCCGGGGAGTCGAGCCTGGGCATCTGGAAGCCCACACGTGGGGCGAAGGCTGCCTGGGTGGAGGTCGCAGTCCCTGATGTGGAGGAAGGGCAAGCATGTCTCCAAGGAGTTTTAACCCCTGTGCGGGAGGAGGAAGGGACTAGAATGAGTCTTCCCCGCGCACTGGGAAGAAACTAGAGCTGAGAGGAGGAAAGTGGCCCAGGGACCCAGGGACACAGAGCAAGAAGCCCAATCCGGATGCTCAAGGGCACAGCCTGGGCCCAGGTTTGCCGCTCCACTTTCCCTCAGAGAAAAGCCCAGAATGACCCCCAGATGCCTTCCTCTCCAGAGTATGAATGTGGGTATCAGATGAGCAGGAGGAAGTGCCGACCCCATGCTTTGGGAGGGTGTCCAGGGCCTGGCTCCTCTCCTGAGTGGCACTCTCAGCTCTCGTCACCACATCCCGGACGAGCATCAGGAGTCAGCCGATTTCAGACAGACCACCCCTTGTCCCTGCAGGCAGCCCTGCTTCTGAGGACAAAAGAGTGACCTACACATGGGGGTTACTGAAGGATGCTCTTGTATGTGTACAGCGGACCTCAGAGAGCCCACCCCCAGCCAGTGCGCCCACTCCGCCACCTCAGGCACCAGGGAGGAGGAGAGTCACTTGGGGCAGGACCTGGAGCCAGAGCCTATTCAGCTGACTGAGTCTAGGCTTGTCAGTTTCTGAGCCTCTGTTTTCTCATCTGCAAAATGGGCGAGTAGGGGGAAGCTAGTACCCAGCTTGCCTTCCTCTAGTGAGTTAAGGTCGTGAAAGCACTTTGTAAAATCCCCAAGTAGCAGAATACATGAGGCTGTGATTATTATTGCCGTCCCAGCCACTCATCACGCATCTCTCCCTCCAGACCAGGCTGTGCGTGGAGGTCCGATATCAGGCCACAGACGGCACGGTGGGCTCCTGGGATGATGGGGACTTCCTTGGAGATGAGTCCCTTCAAGAGGAAGAGAAGGACAGCCAGGAGACAGATGGGCTGCTCCCCGGCTCCCGCCCCAGCTCCCGGCCACCGGGCGAGAAGAGCTTCCGGAGGTAACAGGCTGGGCCCTCTGCCTGCCCCCTGCCCCCTGCCCCCTCCTCCTAAAGACACAGGGAGGCTGCCTGTGTCTCCTCTAGGCCTGGCTGGGCTCGGAGTACAGGGCTGGAGAGACATACAAGAAAGGGGAAGGTGTTTCTACAGCTACCCTGGCCCTGACCTGCCCTCCCCAGCTCCAGAAACTCACTGAAGAGACAACAGGCTGTCTGGGATCAGGCTGAGGGGCCAGGCCTCCCCGCGAACCTGAGGGAGGCAAAGTTCCAGGAGGGTGGGCTCCGACATGAGTGGAAGAGGCTACATAACTGCCTCCTCAAAGAAGAGGAGACCCTGATCTCTCTGGCCCAAGACTCAGCAGTGCCAGACCGGGTGCAGGCAGCCTGGCCTCCGCCCTGGCCCGGGGAAGGCCCAAGACAGGGAGACCTCTTCCAGCGGGAGTGAAGCCAAAGGTCCTGGTCGAGACTTGGCCTCTCTTCTGTTGAGAAGACTGCATCCCAGCACCCTCGTGTCCAGGATTCATACCTGTGAATGTTCAACCACATAGAGAACAAGATGACATTCCAGGCCTGTTCGTTCCAAATGCACTATTTCTACAAAAAAAGGAAATGCAATTGTATTACTCTTAGAGCCCAGAGAGACAGACTAGGCAAATAAAACACTGTCGGCAGGTTCCCAGATCACTGGGCATGATGCGTAAAGCACAGGTAAGTCCGTGGTGTGACTGGAGGATGGGGGTGGGTTTTCAGAGAGGGGGATGCCCCCTCCCGTTGGAAACCTCTCCCATCTCCTCCCCCTCTCCTTTCTAAGTCAGATTTATTCAGTCCCTGTTCTAAAAAGAAACACAGACCCTAAATTAGTGTAATTGAATTTTTTACTTTTATTGTATAAATATATTTTCCTTCCTTGCCCTTGAACCACTCACCCCTAAACACACACACACAGACACACAGACACACAGATACAGACACACACACAAGCTTAAGACCCTGGGCCTTGGGAGCGAGGTGGGGAGTAATAGTAATAAGGTCAAAGGAACCATGCCTGTGGCAAATGTAGCTGGACCTGCAACTGCTGGCCGGCCGTGGGGTGGGCAGTACCGTACAATGGCATGGACAGAACATGCAATCTGGACTCAGGAAACAGGATCTGAGTCACAGCTCAGCCTCTTATCAACCCTGTGACCCTTGGCCAGTCACTCCTAACCTGTACAGTGGGGCCCAGGACAGTGGGAACACCCGTGCTGTTGTT